TGGCTTGGTGCCAGCAGCTCCCAGCCCGGATGTCTTTCACCGGCCAGAATGGTCCCACCCAGGCCGACCCTGCCCCTCCTCCCCCCTTTCATATATCGTCTGCCCTCTGCCCGATTTGGCCGACATCTCTGCCGTCTGTGCGGCGGACCGGTCTTCCTTGAGACCCCCTCCCCTCCCACCACTTCCATCAGCCGCTGCCTGCCGACAGTGAAGACCCAGGACGCTTTGGGAAGGCCGCGGCAGGCGGCGGCTGGTGGCCTGGTGGCCTCGGCCCGCGGCCCCGGGACCAGGCACCGGGTGGGGCTGACCTTCGGCGCACGGCGCAGAGAGCCCCGCCGCCAGACTGTCGTGGCGCGCTGCAGGGACAGTGTATCGGGCTGTGGGCCGAGCGGGACATGAGAAACACGTACCGGGGCTGGTCACCGACATTTCGGCAAACGTTGCTGCTCTCAAAGGCTGCAGACCAGCAGCTCGGCTGGCGGCCAATACAGCTGTGTGCCGTGAAAAATTAGGGGCACCGGGACCACATTCCAATGTAGTCAATAAGTAGTTGCTGCTGCAGCTGTAGGTGCTGTTTGTACTGGGGAATTAATCGATGCCTCTTTTTTGTCCGAAACTCCACTGGGATATGGGCTTACCGCAGCCAAGTAAATCTATCTTGCCAAACCGCCAATTGCACACTGCATCTGCTGGGACCTGTCATATGGCGGGCGTTACACTTCCCACTTTCAGTAAGACCACCATGAGTGAGACTGTGTGCGATGTGTGCGAGGCCCGTCGCAAACCCTCACGGTGTGCGAGCCCAGGGCCTCGTTTCACAAAGCGAGTCCGTAACTTACGCCGGTTTTTGGGCTTGTATCGCAAGCGCATGTGAAGCGATAAATGTATTTCGCCTTCTCCTTTCTGTTCTTGTTTGCTAGATAAATAAATTCAACGATTTAAACTATCGTCATCGCTTCACATGCGCTTGCAATACAAGACCAAAAACCGCCGTAAGTTACGGACTCGCTTTATGAAACGAGGCCCAGGTCTCTAGAACAGCGCAGCTGCGAAAAGCTATGGATTTAGAGGCAGCTAAGGAAGCTTCATCCGTGATACGCAGCCTCGTCCAACACAATGCTGTGAAAATCACCAATCGATGGTCATGAAAGCAGTCTTGTCAAAACCAATCACCTCGGCTCACTTGATTTGTCCTCATCTTTCTTGTTGTTTCGTTCATTTACGCTCATCATATTGAGTCAGTTATGGTTAAGATTTGACATCCATCTAAAAAGCATAAAATAATGAAAGTAAAAATTGTTTTACCTGCTGAAGCCACACACAATGTCATTTATGCGCACATTTACCCTGGCACCAATGGCCGGAGGGATCAGCTAAATCGTATCCGGGATAAGCTGACGCAAGCCAAGTGTGGTTTGTCATTAATGTAGATTTTATGGCCGTTGAGATAGCCTCCCATATGCCATGGATTAGAAGGGATTTCCATCGTCAGAGTTGACGCTGGTTGCTGGTGGATGCTGCATTCGATGGCTGATAGTCAACATAATCTTTATAGTCGGACAGTTCCCAGCAAGAACATCCCAAGTGTCAAATTTTCGAATGGTATAAAAATCTCACTTTCGAAAATTTGACACTTAGGGAGATTCTTGCTGGGAACTGTCTTATTACAATACGACTTTCTGATGGATATCAAATGTCATCCATTTATATTATAACGTATATTGTTCTGAATATGTGCATTTATGCGTTCCCTGGTTGACTCTTTTTTAAGCTTTCATGGCGGATTCAAGCCTCCGGTCAGTTTTAGTACCGATCTATGTACACAGCATGTGATATTGACCGTATCAGACTGATCGAGTGTTCCGTTCTCCCCCTTCCTGTATCTTATATAACTGGTCTCATGGCGCCCTTGGTCTGTCGTCCTGCCATCAGATGAACGCTATGATCTAGAACTGTAGAACAGGCTGCCTCATACCTAATAAAAGGGCCCAATTAAATACTGGGGAGATTATTGACGCTTAGTTTTGGGGAAACATCTCGATCAATCTTGCTTCCCCTTAGCAATTGAATTTCCTCATGCTCTCATTGCTATATCACCCACAGCTCGAATTGAGGAATCCAGAAAAGAGTCTAGCCAACCTTGAAGACAGTGCAATTCACCGTAGTACTTCCCACATTTATATGAGGTACCAATTACCAATATGAGGTATGAGGTACGTACGCAATTCTGAGAGGAAGGACGCTGGAACTCGGAAGGTCTCGAGCTCCAACTTCAGAGTCAATTACTTGACACAAAGGACCACAATCGACAATCGGTTTCAAAGTACATAGGGCTACGGGTGGACACTGGGCATATCTAGCTATAGCACTTCACTTCACGAGAGCCATAGCTCGACATCAAGGGAGGTCTAGGTTCTAACCCTCCCCTCCCCGGGCTACCTCCTAATTACGTGCAAGGTCTCACAGTGGGGCAGTTGCCCTAAATGGCCGCTCAGACCTACCGTCAGCGACCTAGTTTGTTGTTTGCTAACTCTTGCGAATGGACGCTAATGATGTCCAGAATGCACAGACCCAGTTTAAATAGGAAATAAAAGCTGATTGTCAATGCTGTACTTTGAGCAGAGAATGTGGCTCATATGTCTGAGCCAATTAACGGCTTAACGGTGCTCCAATTATGAGAGCTAGATGTCTCAACCTGACCCAGCGAGGTATGCCATTACAAAACACAGCTATTTCTATCATTTACCGCTATGGAGATTGGAGGGTATAGACCTATAGGATATCTATAGGAGGTCTATAGGAGGAACAGGTTGGGCTTGCCAGTTACCACTCTTTACCAAGTCGGCACCTCCTGGGTACGGCCAAGGTCTACCCTCACGCTCACCGCGCCTGCCCTGACGGTTGTCTTCCTGTCCGTGTGCGGTTTGATGATGATTGATCCTTCCCAGATATTGCCCGTATCAGTCCACCCACGCTAGACTGACCGGAGCAGGTACTCCCCTCTCTGGCCGCTCCAGCCTGTGTCCCCCATATCCGGGTAGCATTTACCTACACTGAAAACAATTTCACCCAAAACTGGCGAGTAAACCGGTGCCTCGCGGGTACCCCTATCCGCAACCATTTTTAACCACCCTCCCAGGAGTCAATTTAGGACATAACACTTTCGCAATTCACTCTGGAGAGTAGTAACCCTCCACGACTATTCGCGCATCAGTGGCTCGCGACCCCTCCATCGAAAGGTATCCATCGACGCCTACCTGGCAGACGCGCCCCACAAACCCCTAGGAGATGGGGTTACCCTCCACGCCTACCCTTCGCCGACCAAGTCACGAGGGCCAAAAAACTCCCACGCTTGCCCATATTTGCGGGAAAATATCTATATTTTAGCAATCTCATACCTAGAAAACATCGGTGAGAAAGTTTCACATCGGTGGGAAAGGTCAAATCGAATTCCCATTGAAATTTCGACATGACTCAGTCACCGGCAGTTATGCAGACCGCCCGAAATCAAGAAGATGTGTCGCCGCTGCTTTCGTGACCTATATAAGAATCAAAATGGTCTCACTTGGTAGTTTCGGAAGAAAAAGCGTTGCCAATCGTCCCGTGATGAATATTGCAGAGGTTTTAAAGATGCACCCTAACAATTGTACTTTCGCCCCCACTTGAAAACCGCCAAACAATGTGCCAACATATCATTGGTTCAAAAAAAAGTTAAAAAATTGTTGTAATTGAAAACTGTATGAGACAACGCCATCTAGTTGTAACAGTAGATCCATCTCCTTCAGGGCAGGTTATGTAAAGGTTCGCCATCCACGGATACGCGTTTACGATACCTCGAGTAGTTCCAACTCTTTCAGTGAGGGCTGTGCCAATGACTCGACACCCGCGGGGACAATATCCGGTGCTGGGTAGCTACCTTACTGCAGACTGTGGGTACAGTGCATATTTACGAGTAATAAGGCAGGCAAGTCTGCTTACCCTCTAGCTAGAATCTGGACATGGCGAGTTAATACACATATACCACCCGCAGAGCAACGCTTAATTCGCCAGCTTCGGGTGAAATTGTTTTCAGTGTACCTACCGGGTCCCGGGTCCGGCCCGTGCTGGCCACACCGGCGCCGGAGGGAAGGGCGTGTCCGACCGGCCGGCCGACCGGCCTGTCCCAGCCAGCTGTCCAAGGTGAAACGGCGTCCCGTCCCTGGCATACGTCGGCTTGGTCAGCCGGCTCGGTCAGGCGTGGTCGGCACTGACCGGCCGGCAGTGGTGCGGCAGTGGACCGGACCGGACAGAGACCGGACAGGGACCAGGAACCGGAATGGACTAGGGACTGGAGTGGACCAGGGACCGGAATGGACCAGGGACCGGAATGGACCAGGGACCGGAATGGACCAGGGACCGGCGGTAGATAGTCTGGGTTTCACGTGAGGTGGGGTGCTGCAAATGGGACGCTGGAGCAGAGGCTGCACGAAATGATTGGTGTAATTGGCGCGAATCAACCACGACGGGTCATGATTTTGACACAGAAACGATGAAATAAAAAAACTTCGAATGTCTTTGACTTATCAAGAACCTTGAAATCCTATCAAAGATCCACTTTGTATATGCATCAGCAAAAAATGTGAATTTATAAAAGCTAAAACACACGAAAAGAAGTCTCAAATTTATTGGATCAATAAGCAGCCTAGGCGATATATAAGCGCTCTTTTGATGTCACAGTTTCTGTTGAATATTTGTAGTTAACTTGGGAAGGGGCGAGTGCACCGCTTAGTAGGTGACATTGACCCAAATGACATCATTTTTGTCACACGTGTCTACCAATTGGCCAATTTGTTGGAGCCGTCTGAATCATACCATCGTTTCCACTGATATGATACTTGCAAGGATAATACGCGGACCTCCAGAAGCTTGTATAAATTCGTGCTTCTACAACCTTGCTAGATGTTCACACATTGAATCGTGCCCACGGCCCACTGTTTACATTGTTTTCTCTGTTGTTACAGGGCACGGGCAGACGGATTCTGTTCCTGTGCCTCGTCGTAGTCGCTGTGACAATCGTCTCATCTACAGAAAGTCCAAGTAAGTGCACGGTCATCAATAGATGTTGAATAATTCCAGAATTACAGTGTCATGGGCACTTATCACGCCTGTAACTTTTTTTATTGCTGTCGCTGAAGAATGAGGGTTGTTGACCTCAGCCGTCGCACAACGTGAGAAGGCTCTTCTATTGATACCCAACTCTTTCGGGGAGCTGGGTACATTCTCGCCAGTCTCGCTACCCCACTGTCACAAGCACTTACCGTATACCACAAGATTGCTACCAACGCTTCGATAACAAGACAAAATTATTTGTCATTTATCGAGAAATGACTTTTCCACGCTTATCCTCAGGGAAACGAATTCACATTCGCCGGCGGGACCCGGCCCGTCAGGAGACCTCACAGACCTCGAGTCGTCGGCGGGCGCCACAGACCCGTGAGCCTGCTACCGAGCCCTCTGCGCTGACGGTGGAGGAGCTGCTCTCTCAGGCAGCCTCCCAGCGGCGCCTCAATGTCGCTCAGGAGCAGGAGATCGAGGTAGGTGGGCTGCTGGCCGAGCGGGAAGTGCGGTGTGCTTATAGGGGAGATTTTTTAGATCAAATGATGTTCGTATTCGAGAGAGCAGTCTGACATAAGCGAGTGATTGGTGTCCATTTTGCAATTAATCGAATTGCTCTGTTCCTATACCTGAAGTATAAAATCAGGCGTGGGTATTTGATTTATAAGGTCAAACAAAATGTGAGTTGCCTCTAATGGCCACTGCTAGACCAGCCATTGCATTTGATAGCTGTGCAACGCCCAGTCCCCCGGCCCGGCGATCAAATGCTTCCGCCCTCTAAGCCACTGCCTCTTCCTCAGAACGATGTAACGAGCAGAGGAAGAGGAAGGGGTCGCGGCCGGGGCTCCAGCGCCGCCGCCGCCGCTGCCGCCACTGACTCCGACTCCGACTCAGCCTCTGTCTCCGCGACCGCGACCGCCTCCACCGGTCGGACTCGCGCCAGAGGTCGGGGTCGAGGTCGGGGTCGCGGTCGCGGCAGGGGCCGCGGCTCCGCTGCCCAGATTGCTGTCTCGAAGACCCAGGTGGCGGGTTTGCCGTCCATCGCCAAACCTTCGCTGTCGCCTCTGCCCACCGTGCCTTCGCTGCCGGTGGCCACCTCGGACCGCAAGATCGTCTGCTACTTCGTCAACTGGGCCCAGTACAGGTGGGTCTGATAGTGGAATGGCGATCTCTGGTGATCAGAACTTACTCGTATATGTGGAGTTGGTGGAATTGTGGTGTACTTTCTGTGATCAGCAGTGATACATATTGATCACGGAAGTACGGCCCTCCAGGTATTTAGTGGTTGGTTGCCAACACCACAATAAGCGATCTGCATTGATGAATACGTCTAATGGCTGTTGAAAACCATTGCCGAAGTGTGTGCACGAACCCTCTTCTCATTTCTATTGAGACATTTTACAGGAGTGTCTCTGTCATTCAAAGTTATTACACCAAAAGCACATAGGCTAACCAACCACTCTTTTGCTGGATGGCCGTACATCCATACAGTTGATTTTGGTGGGATGACGATCACTAATTATCACATTCAATCACACAGCTGGGATCGGTAGGATGCAGCGACGCTTCAGGGGAGAACACTTTTGGCATGATCAGCACATTGGAACTCGATGTAAGCTCGATTGCATGTTGACCTATATCGGACGAGGTGTGTCTCGACCCTAAACGGATATGACTAAGCTCTCGAAAAAATTGCATGCGATTGTTCATTCACAAGATTATAGATAAGCTGCTTCGGTTACCGGAATTTCGATACTCAGGAATATAACAGTCACTCACTTATCAGATAAGTTTAGAATGATTGCATTCTATTGTCGGTTGATATGATGCATATGGGCACAGCTTGTGACTACTCTAATGGGTGATGGGCAACAGGAACATAACATCCCAGGTAGCCTGACTTTTAACTACTGTGCCTGCTCCTATAGAAGCGAGCTGACAAGATTTATTATCCCAATTCTGGGATAATAAATTTAACTGCAAGTTTACGTTATTCAGGTCAATTGACTTACTAATGCATACTAATAGCTCCGCTCACTTTGATTAGTGCGTCAGTTGCTTTATCTATTTAGACGGGGCATAAACTGAAAGAAAGCTGAGCCATCGCATTCGTTCTACTTTACGCCATCTTCAGCTTTCACAGCAATCTTCCTCCTATAATTATCAAATTATCTTGTTAGAATGAAGGACTTGCAAAATGCACGGCAGTAACGTAAAATTACATGAGAAACGGCCGATGGATTTAAATTTTGGAGATGCTACCTCATTTACATAAGACGTGGATTGGTTTACGAAGGCGATGACCGACCCAGACTTTGAGGAGAATGGAGTCACGTCAGCTGTCTTGCGGTGTTCACACCACTGCACACGCACAAAAGCGGTCACTATTCATCCCTTACAGTTCAGATACAATGTATCAATTATTCATGAAGGTTCAGCTTATCGACATGTTACCCCTGACTGAAGGTTAATCCCGAGCTGTGGTTACTGAGTTGTGGTTACTCCGGCAGACATTCACAACCGCGACTCACCAGCCAGATCTGAGAGCTGTACAATTTCTTATGACTGATTCACTGTCCTTTTGAGTGGCACTCCCACGCTGAATCCGGATCTGTATGTCCGCGGCTAATTCTACAGATAGTTTTATGAGCATTCACAAGCGGTGAATGTGTTCATTTATCGGTGTGTGGGCGCAGGCACTCAGCCATGGGAATCTCTTTGCATTGCGGTGGCAGAAACTTGCGAGATAGTGAGCCTGGCGTGAGAAGCACTCGTCTGTCGACTCTGAGTAGCGCCCTATTGCAACTACGTCTACTGAGATTATCATCACGCTGCCTGTAAGGGTAACTCAAGTTCCCTTGATTTCATTATGGAAGCGACGCCAGTGGTGGCAGCCATGGCACGCCAGTATCAAACAGGCATTCGTTGAATTGTGTTTTGTCAATATAAAAGCTCCTGTTACACGCTTGAACCTCACCATGACGGCAAAATGAGGATGTTGGTTCGAAGGTCTTATAAAAAAGAATGGGTCTGTCTGGTAGCCTAATATTAATTAGCATTAACTGATTGCCTTGGCACTAATGAAGGGGGGGGGGGTGAAGAGATTTCAATGTCAAAGGCTCGGGTGAGGCGCGACGGGTGGATGAAAGGCTCAGTTCACTGCTGTACTCGGAACTGATCGTACCACGACCGGAGTCTACCTTATCGCCCCTAATACCGAGTTTCCTCCGACAAAAGGATCTTGCTATGACCGCGGGGCTGTTACTACAACAATCCGAGTCGGGCTTATCACCTCAAGATCAAATCTTATTGCGCTGGAACCAATCTCGCCTTTCCCCAAGTTTATCTTACTGTGACCGAAGCCGATCTTGCAGCAGCGGGAGCCAATCTAATTGCAGTCTGGAGCCCCTCCATCATGATCAGAATGGCTGGCCAGAGGATCCCATCTCGGTGGTACCCCTGTAGCGTGGCATCATCTCAATCGTCTCTCTCAGCAGTGCCAGAACGGGTATCCTCTGAGCCCAAACCGGTCTGACTGGAGCCGGCTGCCCCCTGCCCCCTGCCCCCTCACCCCTGCCCCCTGCCCCCTAATCTCTCTCCCGCGGTCGTCTCCAACATGGAGGTTGACGGATGGGTGACTCACTAAGCTCGGAACAAAACACTAGGAAACTATTCACAGAGGACAGGTTGAAAAGCGGTTCTAGGCCTTCTAAGACAGTTTCGAAACCAATTCTGTGGTCACTCTGGATATTCTTACTCTAAAAAATTGCCGACGGAGTGTATTTCTCTAAAATTATAAAAAAGCTTGAAAAATACTTCCTTGGTTCATTAGAATTAGTTTCAGATGTAAAGGGCGGGCAATTCTTATGTCAATCAGTGATAATCGGTTCCATGGCGAAATACATTGCTTCCATCCAGGTGTTCACTGTGCCGCCGCAGCCCACGGCTCCAGAGAAGCGATCGTCTGAGCGATTGACATTCAATTATGAAGGCCAACGTATTCCAGACACATGTCAAGGTGATGTTATTCAACAGCAGCTCATTAGCATTAGCTTAGCTTGATGGTCACCACCATCCAGTGAACGTTGAATGACGTCATACTCAGTTTGTGAGCGAAAGACGCCGGAGATGGAAGTGATTTTTGGAGAAGAACCGGTCAGCGGTATGGTGTATCTGAACTTGTGGAAACATCCGGCAGTATTGTTTATTGCAAATCAAGGTCAGACTTCCTAAACCGACTCAGAGTTCCTTGAACCGCATCCTATCGGCGGCGCATCCAATCTTTGAACCTTTCGGCGGATGGCTGTGCCTGTGTGACCTGCGGCGCGTTGCGCGCGGTGGCACCGTGTCGGGACCCGCCGCGCCGACTACTGCCTCCGCTGTGTGCCGGTGCGTGACCAGTTTCTCCTGCGGCGCGGCAGACCGTGGTGAAAGACGGCGTGACGTGACGCGGACCCCGCCCGGCCCGACCCGGCCCGAGTCCCGAGTCCGACCAGCCCACCCCCGAGCGACCGCCGGCTGTCGGCCCGGGTTTCTGGACGGCGTGGCTACCGGGCGTGGCTGTTTCGTTTTGGGTTACTTAGTAGGGGCTGGGTAGTCTGGGCTCCATCGGATTAGCTGATGTCACAGTTGTACTGCAAACGTTTGAAACGCTATATTCCAACCGTTGAGATAGCCTGACGAGCTGAAATTAGGTCCAATATCTCACCGGCGTGTTTTGTCTGATATGCAGGCGACCGCCGAGATCACCTATGCTCCAACACTCACAAGATCATTGCCCCTCATTCAGGTCCTCGATCGGAAAGCACCTTCCGGAGCACGTGGACCCGTTCCTCTGCACCCATATCGTCTTCGCCTTCTCGTCGATGAAGCACAACAAGCTGTCGCCGTTTGAGCACAACGACCTATCCAAGGACGGCAAGATCGGTCTGTACGAGCAGGTGACCAACTTGAAGAAGGCCAACCCCAAGCTGAAGACACTGCTTGCTATCGGTAAGCTTTGCGATGAGGAAGCTGCTGACCGTGTCTATGCTACCACGATGTCTAGCATGGTTTACGGCTAACGTCGTGTAGCGGAGAATGTGTAGGTAATGTATGCAGAACAATGGCTTAAATATTTTGCGATCGCGTATATATATATACGAGCATATCGTACGCTTCATTCTAAATGATCAAGCAGTATGAGTGTGTAAGTGCCCCTCGTCTCCTTTATAGCAAATGAAATGTTAACCACAGGATGACATGTGTTTTATCTGACGAACGTCCCTCGCTCCTCAGGCGGCTGGTCGTTCGGCACGGCAAAGTTCAAGGAGATGTCTTCCAACCGTTACAACCGTCGCACCTTCGTGTACAGCGTGGCACCCTACCTGCGGGAGCACAACTTCGATGGCCTCGACCTCGACTGGGAGTACCCCAAGGGCTCAACCGACAAGCAGAACTTTGCCGAGCTCGTCAAAGGTCAGTGAATGCTCATCCTCAGCACACACAGAAGACACTTGACATACCTTCCTTCGTCGTCCATACCAGTTTCCTCTCCTCTAATGGAAGTGACGGGACTCTCAATCTTCGGCACTTGAAGAAAAACGATGTAAAGTCATAAACAGCAAGTTTTACAGCTCTAGGGAAAAAAACGATCGAGTATAATTACAATAATGACGTCTGGCGACGATGCCACGCCAGCTGCCATTGGTGTGTCGACCCTAGAAAACGTGGACTTGTAAATTCTGCGCACGCCGGTAGGATATTGTGCAATACTTGACAACACGAAGTCGTTTGCCTTGGCACCTAAAAGTCCCATTGTGTTTCGGGTCAAATTGGATCACGACCTGCATATCGCCGCCGTGTTTAATTAAACAGGGCTGGCGCCCTGTTTAATTGACCTAAATAAAAGGCCATATACAAATGCTCGAAGAAGTCAAAGTACCTGACATAAATGTAATATAGGATAAAATCGTTGAAGGTGAGCTATGGCTAGTTTGAGCATAATTATGAATATTATGATGTTAGAAAATGACCTTATGCTCATGATACAATGAAATGATAGTAAAATAAGTCCAAAAACTTATATTCTATTTGTTCAAAAACTTATCTAAATGATAGTTAGGTACTATTTACTTATTTTGGACTTATTTTACTATCATTTCATTGTATCATGAGCATAATTGGTCATTTTCTAACATCATAATAAGCATAAAATTGATTTTATTCACATCAGCCTCTCTATACCTAAAACACGTGCATGCAACTGCAATTCCACTGTTCCTTTGGAACAAAGGTGTTCCGCACACGTCACCAGGGCTGGTAAAAAAGCAAATTGCGTCCCCGACCAAAAAATGAGAGCGAAAAATGACCCCGACCTTTTTACGATTCATGTATGCAGGCTGCATGCAACTACGATGCGCGTTTCCTTAGGTTTCATTTCTATATTATTTTTTTACGAGCAGTCATATGTGCTAAATTGCTTATCAGACTCGCGCTTCGAAATTTCCAGTTTGTTAATTAAATGTCACGGCATCACTCGGTCAGCAGGTAGCGTAACAGACGAAGAACCCGGAAAGGGTAGGGGGCGCTACGATCGTCGAACAGATGCAATAGGTGTCGCTATTGTATCGGTAGCTCACAACGACGACGGCTAGAAACTATCGACCCCGCATGAATTTACCATGTCCAACCGGTCCGACCCCGGTTCCGAATCTAGTCGTTTGTCTAGTCGTATAGCTGGCTACAACTGGTCGTCAATCAACCCCGCTTGAAATAGCACAGCCGACAGCGGGGTCGGTGTCTAAGCGTCTGTTAGTATGTGTTTGATCATCTAATTTGATCTAGTTTTCGTTAGCAACTGTCGACGGTAGTTTTGCTGTTAACGGAAGTGAGTTGTGGCTACTAATTGTTCATAACCATGTTGTAGGTATGTATTAGGTATAGGGGCTTTTTATGTCCTTGTTAAAGGGGATATACGTTGTGGATTCAATGATATCTTTTACTTGCGTTTAGTTTCTGCTTTATTTGAAAGTTATTTATTACTGTAAAAGTTTACTAAATGTGGTAATTTTGACCCCGGGTACTTGAACTTTTACTGGTACTGTGTCCCCGACGACGTCAATAGGACATAACACTTTACCAGCCCTGCACGTCACTTTATGACGAAGGATGCACAATGAAATTTTCTTAAATTTTAGACGTTTTGTCTCACTTTCTCCGTATTCCTAACTGTCTCGTGGGATACATGTAAGCTCGCAATAGCTACCAAGTTCCCTCCCTCTCACTTGCGGGCTCGCTGCAGTCTGACCTTCACCGGTATCCCCGGGCCCCTGCAGGCCCGTACCCAGCATTGTTTGGTGCACACCCGCGAGCCCCACTCACGACCTGTCCCTGGAATGACATGCCCCGCTGGCTTCGCGTGTCTACCATTCTCAGCGCGTTACGGACGTGTTCACTGATCTCGAAATAGAAAGGCGTGCTTTGGGATACAGGATGTGGAGGATTATGTTTCATGTTAACTCTTTTGAAAGGAAGAAAGTCATGATCGCAATATTGTGATGCTCTTTAGCCATACTTCCGATGTTTTTTATGATGATTCACTTGCGTCTGACCACTCTCACTTTTGTTACCGGCAGATCTGGCCGAGGCGTTCGCTCAGGAGGCGAAGGAGACTGGCAACGAGCGTCTTCTGCTAACTGCCGCCGTGCCTGTCGGTCCCGACACCATCCGGGGAGGATATGACGTCCCCAAGCTGGCTAGGTTAGTGCGACGACCTCAAACTGACGAAGGTCAGTAGTTACGGTCACTAGCCAGTAAGATGACCTCCGTCAGTAGGTATACGTCATTGGAGCGGCTAGAGACCAGTTTTCCGTAATCAACGTATGCACTGAATAGCACTTCAGCGTTCCGAAAGTGACCAGGTCATTGTCACACCCTAGCGCGCTGAAGATCACTTTCTATCCATGCACACTCAGCACAGCCGGTATTGCTCTTGCTGTCACGTCTCCATATAACCGTTCGTCATCGTCTTTCTCCCATCAGGTACCTGGACATCTTCAACATCATGGCGTACGACTTCCACGGCAAGTGGGAGCGTCAGACGGGCCACAACGCACCCCTGAACGCCCCCTCCAGCGACTCGGAGTGGCGCAAACAGCTCTCTGTCACCAACGCCGTCAACATGTGGATCCGACTCGGAGCCCCCAAACACAAAATCGTGGTCGGGTGAGTCTAGCGAAGGTGGATGTTAGTGGTGGGCCAATTGAGCTTGGCAAGTAAACACCTCCAGCGTTTGCACTGCGTTTACAGCTGTGTGTCAGCTTATCGTGCAGATAACGTTTCAATCCATTTCCTCACGTGTCTGTTTGATTTTATGGCAATTTCCTGCTCGACCTTTCCGGGGCTCGATATTTTCCTTTTCCGGATTTATTTGTCTTATGCTCTTACCAGTCGCACACGCAATCGAACATTCTTCCAAGTACTGCAACGGATAGGATAAGCTGCGGGACGGAAATAACAGATGCCTGCTGTCATTTCAGAATGCCGACGTACGGTCGCAGCTTCACGCTCGCGAACCCCGCTAACAGCAAGGTGAACGCTCCTGCCAGCGGCGGAGGCCAAGCCGGCAAGTACACCAAGGAGGGAGGCTTCCTGGCCTACTACGAGGTACGAAACTTCAGCATGCACCGTCCCAATGACCTTGAATGGATTCGATGCAGGACAATCTGCTTACCGAATAACATCGAGGGTTTGCTGTACTTTCTGGCTTCAATTTTCATCTTACGTGGAGTCATGCGAAAGTGCATACATTGCTCATACCTTGCTTATAACCGTGATGATACGTTTCACATGCATAATCATTAGGTATTTCTCCACCTCTTTCGTAAGACAATTATCATCGTTTGCCAAGCTCTATGTGAGTATGCGATATGGCAGAGTGCAACATCAGGTATATCATTTATCACCCCGACATCACCACCCACCTTGTCCGACAGCTGTGCGAGATGATGTACGAGGGCGCCCAGTACGTCTGGGACGACGAGATGTCCGTACCGTACCTGGTCCAGGGCAACCAGTGGTGCGGCTTCGACGACGAGCGATCCATCCGCATCAAGATGGACTTCATCAAGGAGATGGGCCTGGCTGGAGCCATGGTCTGGTCCACGGATATGGACGACTTCACGGCCACTGCCTGCCGCGGCGCCAAGTACCCGCTCATCACCGCCATGAGGTGAGCCAACTAACTGACGCAATCTGACCCAAGTAGGAACTTATCAACGGAGTGCATCCAAGCACCCGCCATGAAGTAAGGAAATCGTCCGTTCATCACGGCTGTTTGCATGTTTTATATATTTTCTTAAAACTCCAAATCACGCATTCCGCATCATACGAAAACTGGTCCATCTTCACAAGATACCCCGTCTGGCCTCCACAACTGAAGACACGATAAATACATGAGCAGAAGTTCACGGGTATTTACCGTATTGTCCACATCGCGCCGACGCTGATCTCATGTGCTTACTTTGACCTGCAGGGAGGAGCTTCTGGGTATTCCGCGTGAGGACAAGAAGAAGGACATCGACTGGTCCAAGATTTCTCCGTCGCGACCCGCGCTGCCCCCGGCGGCTGTGGCCCCCATCATCACACAGCTGTCCACTGCTGACATCCTGGCTCTGCTTAAGGCCCAAGGTGAGCGACACGCAGCCGAGAAACCGGCTCTTGAAATGTTTTACGACGTCAGTGCTGCTCTGTACGCCTTATCATTATTGCTTTGTCCGACACCTTGTCATGATCTTTGTCAAATGTCAAATAAGCCGTAAAATAAGCCTCACGCTGACCTCCGCGACTGCCGCTGTTTCCAGGTATCACTCCTGATGCCAACACCATCCAGAAGCTGGGTCAGGTGCAGCTGTCTGCCGCGGGCCGTGGTACCGCAGCCGTCGACCAGTACAACGACAATCGTAAGTCACGACCCTCCCACACATCGCTTGCGTTGACACGGGTTACAAGTTCTGTTGACCTACGGTCTAGTTTCGTTTCACAATTGATCTGCGTACACCAAAATCCAGCAGTGTACTCATGCACTCATAATTTCATGTTTGTGGTGTCGACTGTGATCGTGAAGCCTGGCGTTGCATGAGCTTTGCATCATTCTCGTCGTGTCCCTCGCCTTCATATGACCGTTTTCCCTCGTCTTATCTGGCAGTGTCGGCACCCAAGGTCTTCTGCTACGTGTCCAGCTGGGCACGTGACCGTCCCGGCCGCGGGAAGTTCACCCCCGCCGACCTGGACCCCACTCTTTGCACCCACGTGGTCTGGGCTTTCGCCAAAATCATCAATGGTGGCGTGGAGCTGCCTTCGCGCGACCAGGATCCCCGCGACGAGGACAGCGACTACCAACAGCTGCTGCGACTCCGCGAGGCCAACCCGAAACTCAAGGTGACCTTCCGACGGCGTACGGGATGGCAGCCTCAGGGTTACGGCTGGCGAGTGGGCAGTGAATGTCTCATCGAGTGGTGGATGAAGCGTAGAGTTTAAGCCAAAAACGAGTTCTGGGTGCTACGGAATTCAATGTGTCGATGTAACGATTTGATGAGTGGCGTGTCGGTCAATGGTTGAAGTACGTCAATTCATTACAATAGTCGGCTTCTGACATCTTATTCCACTTGCAGCTCCTGGTCGCCCTTGGAGGCTGGTCGGCCGGTCCCGAGCCCTTCCAGGAAATCACCTCAAGTGACTACAAGATGAACAACTTCGTCTACGATACCGTTGACTTTATCCGGAAGAACCAGCTGGATGGTATCGACATCGACTGGGAATACCCGAGGTGCGCATTTTTGTTGACTGTCACGCACTTTTGTGTTACCTTGCAGTTCCCGCTTTGAGTACAGAAAAGTCTGGCGTGTATTAGCTCATGTATGTGCCGTCACAGCTCTGCCGTAACATCCGCGAACTTATCCACCATCGATCACAACTGTGCTGGTCATATCTCACCACGTCCATCTCTCTTGCAGCGGCTCCGCCGACCGCCAGGCCTACAGCAAGCTGATCCGCGAGTTCAAGCTGGCCTTCGAGGGCGAGGCGGCATCCAGCAAGAAGCCGCGTCTGCTGCTGACCGCTGCTCTGCCGGCCAGCGCCGACGCCATCTACTCAGGGTAGGTGTCGCCACTTGCAAAGCCCCGGGGTAGGTGACGCCACTTGGGTGTTATCAACTCTTCCGTCGACGAGAGACTAAAAACCCCTTTCTTTCTCCGGAACATAATGAACATTGCGATGCTCTAACTATATCAATACCGTTAAAATTAAAAGCGCTAGAAAGCATAGGCCGTTAGCATTTTCCGTACTCCTTGCTTGGCCTTGCTCGGTTCTTGCTGGACTTGACGTTGATGCGTTTCCTCTACAGATACGATGTGCCGGAGATTTCCAAGCACCTTGACTTCATGAACATCATGTCGTATGACTTCCACGGTACTTGGGACAGCGTCGTTGGACACAACGCTCCCCTTTACCCGCTGGAGACCGCGTCCCGGGAGGAGCAGAAGATGAGCTTGGTAAGTGCAAGCGAGACGATCCAGGTCCAACTTTGTGCAATGTTTTATGTGATGGGATTCGTTCCAAGCCTGTCCAGCACAACAATTGCTTCACTTTTAGCCTTTTTGTCCCGGATCGGATCCCACTTTGGTGTGTCTGCATTTCCGCTATCACTTTGTTTTGTTTGACAACACGTTCCTTTCCGTTCCAGGACTACGCGGCTCGTGAGTGGGTGAAGGAGGGCGCCATCCCTGAGAAGATGCTGATCGGTATGCCGACCTACGGACGCACGTTCACTCTCACGGACCCGGCTGAGTATGACATCGGAGCCCCCGTCAGCGGAGGAGGAAAGCCGGCCCGCTTCACGCGCGAGGAGGGCTTCGCCAGCTACTATGAGGTGAGGGTGGCGATGATACAGTGTTGTTTACAGTCTGGTGGTTGGGGGCAGGTTAGAGCCAGAGGGGTTGGAGCCTAGAGAGAGGGACTTGAGAAGAGCTGTTGGCCAAAGGGACTGTCAAGTAAAATGATATGAAGCACCCCAAGAGGTAAAGCCATAAGACAAAGGGTTCTCTCTCGGGTCAGACTTTCCTTATTACCTGTTACATACCCTGATAATTTGATCAATAACGTTTGTTCCGTGACGTCATTTGACCTCTGTGACTTCTCACCTCTGACGTCGTGTCGGCAGGTGTGCGACGTGCTGGAGCGGGAGAACACCACCCTAATCTGGGACAACGAGCAGATCGTGCCGTTCGCCTTCAACGGCGACCAGTGGGTCGGATTTGACGACGAGCGCTCTATCACCGCCAAGGTCAGTTAGGGTCAATGGTGGATCGGACCAGTTATATCCGGTACAAAGTCATCTGGGGTTCAGAGTGGCTCAGAACAGTTATATCTAGTGTATGTTAGCACCCAGGGTGCCTGGTGTTGGTGCGGGCTATATCCGGCACAGGTCTGGTCCTGCTGATCGACTCATGTCGGTGGCTATCCGGTTGGGTTCCATGGACTGTTCTCCGGTTATTATCGGTTCATAGCAAGGTATCTGTTTAGCTGTATTGCTTCGATCAGATGTTGCAAAGTGTCAAAGACGATTAGTAAGCCATCAAGCTGAACGATGCATAATGGGGTAGACAGCAGCCGTCTCGAATGCCTGTACTCTCTCCCCCACCAGCTGTCCCATTCACCACTGCTGACTCTCCATGACCTCACCAACAGGTTGAGTGGCTGCGTGACCTCGGCTTCGGCGGGGTGATGGTGTGGGCTGCCGACCTCGACGACTTCCGAGGCACCTGTGGCACTGGACCGTTCCCTTTGGTGAACGCCATGCTGGACGCCCTCGACGGATACCGCGTGGCGTTCACATACGACGGAGGCGCCGCCTTCACACCGGGCAAAAAGGCTGACCGTGAGTGGTGCTAGGGGTAGCAGCCAGGGGCGTAACTAGGGAATAAGGGAGGCTCTTCACGGAGCGCCTTTTTCGAGGCGGTGATTGGCAATGCTACTTCTCGTGAGTAAAGCCTCGCTGGTCACTCGCTTGCCGCGATCCTCGCTGATGCTGTATTCAGGCTGTATTCAGCCATGTGACAGCGAACAGTTAGAGTACGCCCTGTCTTTACAAGTATTGTCTTCATTTCGTCTGTATGACCACCCTTCCCCACCCCACAGCCAACGAAGTGGTGTGCGACAACGCTGACGGCGAGGTCACCTTCCACCGGGACGTCCTCGACTGCAAGCACTACTACCTGTGTCAGGGCAGCGTGCGCCACCACATGCCCTGCCCGAGCGACCTGGTCTTCAACGAGGCGCAGTCCGTCTGCGATTGGCCCGAAAACGTGGAGGAGTGCTCACAGTTCACGCTGGCCCCACCTGCCGCCTAGTGCTGCCATCTATGGGCAGAACAAGTGAACTGGCGCTTGCCGTCTCCGCCGCATGGGTGAAAGTATGAGAGGCATTTAGAGGAGTGCAGTGGAATGGAGTGGATTGTGGAATGTGGAAAGCAGCGGCGGACGGTGGATGTGACTTGGATGCCAAATTGGGACGGTGTGACGCGCACACAGTGAGACTTTATCGAAGCATCGTGCACCTTAGTGATGTGAGCTGCAGAAAAGTGCATGCACTGTGAAAAGTGATAGATAGGTATCGACTTGGTATTGCGGCCTCATCAGTGGTAGGTATAGCGATATGGCTTAAGAAAACTGTGTATTCCCTCTGTATCTGATAGGTAGATTGAAAAAGACCCGCGAAAGTGCCTTCCATGGAACGTAGTCATAAGCCTTTTTAACTTTTACAGAAAAGGGCGATTTGCTAAATTAGAAAGGCTCTTACAATATAATAATAGGCGGTGGAGCGGGAGGGGCACCGGGGCACCGTGTCCCCTTGATTTTGCCATTTTAACATTAGCCCTATGGGCGTTGCATGGAAAGAATGAGACCAAAAGTCGGTAGTGCCCTCCCCCCCCCTTAATTGAAGGTGTTCCGCCGCTACTGGATTTAATGCCACCTTGTGATTGGAGAAATTCTTATTTTGTTTGTCATTTAGTATTTCAAGAGATACTCCACTTGTAAATCATGTCAAATGTCAATATTCAAGACATACCAACTGTCGTGCACTTTGACTAGCAGTGACCAGTGACGTCATGAAGACAGCTGACTGTGGTAGTTTGCCGATACCGCCGCTGATACAAATTAGCCGCCGTGCTGACTGGTGTGACGCAGCGGGTGCCCTGCCCGCCTGTCCCGTCAGCGAGTCCGTTGTATTTTATTTATAGCAGCTGTGCTGGTACAGAGATCGGCCCGGAGGGGCTGACCCGGTCACGTGACCTGGCGATAGTACGCGGGGTCGCCGCTAGGCGGCCAGCCGTCAGGCAGTCAGACAATAAACGTGAGAAATGTGACCGGCGTGTGCCGTGGTTTATGCGACAGTTCACAGAGATCAGTTGGAGAAAGCATGAAAGTTTCACACGTACTTTATGCTTGTCTTTATCATCAGAGAAAGATAAGTGAAGAAAAGTCCTACAGTAATGCATGTAGCTATAAGTAATGCATGTAGCTATACTGTTCGTATATCGTTAGGGGTTTGTATAAATATGTGCTATTTCCACGTTGTACTGTGCGTTGGAAATAGTACATATTACCCACTTTGGTTTGTGGGATGCATGTGTGTCGTATGTGTATGTATGTGTGTTTCGCATACATAATGCATATGCATATATGTACGCATATGCATGTCATACATGTACACAACATAACGATTCGTGTATACCTATTTTAAATACCAACTACAATAAATCCTTGTGTGCCACCCTTCTAAATCATTGTCTATTTCAATTTGCATATTTACCTTATGGTATCTACATGCATTACCTACATTGACATTTATACAACTTATTGTACCAATTCTCATAATACTCTAGTCCGTGCTGTTTCCTGAGGTTCTGTCCGGCAACAAGCCTAGCTTAGCCGGACGGAGCCAAGGGTTTCGGCAATAAAAACGACCTTGCAAGAACATGACCAGGCATGCTTTTCCCCACCTGAGTATGAATGCGTATTGCGTTAATTACTAACACTGGTATAAATGATAGTTGCTTGTGTTGGTATAGTGGGCAGTCATTTTGCTTCACTCGGCAATGACTACTTTCCTCCTTTTTGGCGTACTTACTAACATTTTTTAGTAGTATTGCATGCGTTATATTTTATTTATATTTTCCACTTCTTAGCAGGGAGTGCCGCGACTTGATCAATTTATTATGTTACCTGGTGTTAAAGTAAGGTCTCTGTGCGTCGCCGGGACTGTGGGAGGGGGCACTCCTGGTTACCTGATCATGGGTAACGGACTATCTTAGAAAAAAAAACAGTAAGTTTCATATTTGTAGTAGCTCGACTAACCAAAGTCACTCAATGCTCATCAGAAACCTAACATATTGATAATACGCACATTAGCACGCATCTAAAAAAATTGTGAAACATAAACACGGATGTCATTAGCATATCACGTGTGCTCCATCCGGCCTTCTGTTGATGAACTGGAGCCCAGACGGGACTGGGAGAGCCTCTGGATCGGTATTTCATGGACATGGCTCCACTTCCAGTGTTATCGTTTGAAGTCATTTACGTCAGTATCTCTTTAAAATTCACCGGACTAAGCCACTCAGTCAACCGTCCGAGTCGATCTTCCCAGAAGCAATGCAAATTCAGCCCCAAGTCCAATAACTACGGACCGTGTGGGGACTCAATGACGCAATCAAAACATTGATCCATGGTCCATGATCCATGATCCATGATCCATGATCCATGGTAGACATCGCACGACAGAAACACGCAAGGAAGCAATAATGTAATTGTTTCACTACTGTGCTAAATAATGGATAGCTCAAACACAGTGAGACGCTCTAGGCTGCTCGTCAATATTTTTTATGTTTTATACATTATACATGTATTGTTATACATTATACATGTTTTATACTTGTATTGTTACTAAGAAAAAAAAACCTTGAGCGACAAAGCCCAATTTGTATGTTTTTGGAGTTTGACAATAAATAGAGTGCAACAGCATGATGAGCAAATTAAAAGATGACAAGAACTATGATTAAGCTCGATCGGACCACGATGATCTTCCCCGAGCTAAATATGGAGACGGGTCAGGTCAGACCGGTAGAGTCGTAGACCCGCTCCTTCTGCCGCGAGGAGAGCCACCACCAGTGGTCGATAAAACTTCCAACGTGCCAACGCTCGTTGGAGCAAGATATTAGCAATACTTGGAAGAGCTGGAGACAGTCCGCCCGTCTACATGGATGCTTCCTTACGCCTAAAATACAGCATTGACTTATGACTTTCTAATCGTCCGGTGCTGTTATCGGCTGCTCGGTACCGCGTGTATGTTCCCCCATTCACTCCTGGTCACCCTTCGGTCACCCCTCGCTGGGTCGGGCCAGTCGGCTATTTTTATCCTCTTTCCGGCTAGGCCACCCGCTGAGCTCCCGCCGTGCCGCGCCGTCTGCGAGGGATCTGACCCTTCTGCCGGCAGAGGTTTCTCCAGGTGTCTCCAAGGAGCCATCATAGCGCTAAGGGTGTGCTCCGCATACACATACATTGATTTTCGCCCTTACTAGCAGGGCCGCTGGCACGCGTTGGCAGCGCCCTGCGGGCATTTTTTCGCTTAGGGTCATTTTGTGGTAAGGAGGATCAGAAAATCACCCTTCCAACTTTCTCCAGGCCTGGGTGTTTTATCGAGCGCGCCTGAAAACGCACAGTGGACCGGAATCACACTTTGATTGCGTTACTTCGTATTAGGTAATACCGTGGTAATACGATCAAAAGTGCGCTCTTTTCTCAATCAATAAGGACAAGTGCGTTATTACACTTATTAACTTTTAAATTAAAAGCTTTAAAATGCTAAATTTCAACATTTCTACGCTGACTTTGGCATGAAAACGTAGGCATTCAGATCCACCGTGTGATCGGTCACCGTATGCAGTAGTGTGATGGTGTGAGTTGGGGAGTCAAGGCCGTGTGGGGAGAAGGTGAGGAGATACCGGTGTGCCGACGCGGTGGATGGCAGTGATTAGACAGTTGTGCATGCATTGTTCATGTAGCATATCATTTGCTTGGGCAAATTTATAGGCATGGCGCCTGTTTATCCGTCTAATTCAAAGGAAAGGTGTGAGTACCAATACTGGTCGTACTTTTCATAGTCTCAAAGAGAGCCTGAAGAAACACACGAAAGGATTACATAAGGACCGGCCTATTCGGAAAGAAAAATGCTGGCGTCGGCATTGTTGGGCACTGGCCAATATCAGTCTGGGACACAACCATCAGGTAAGAAGGACGTTTACATTATCGTTGGTTGTATACGTGCATTCTTGCATTGTTGTGTTTTCTAATGGTGGTCATATGCAAGTTAGTGCAGTGTTGAGTAGATAAAGTTGAGTAGATGAAGTAGATATCTTGGTCGAAACGACACCATCATTTAGGAATTAGTCACGGCTTAATTAACTCTCGCACTTAGAGAGGTGGGGCCTGAGGGGTGTGTCGAAAGCCCCCCCCCCTCGTTTTTTCGCGAATAACTCGCGCAAACAGTGGCTGATCGCGACAAAACTTACAACATCTACAAGTGAATTCATTTTGTACATACCATAAATATTTCATGAGCATGACCCAAATGACCTTTGACCAGTCACCTGCTTCTTCAGATTATTCAGGCCGGAATCGAGATTAGCGCATATGTCAGCACACATATTCCGTGTGTTTTCTGTCTTTTTGTAGCTATTAACGTTTTAACATGTGAGATGTTGTTTGTGCCATGCATAATATTGGCTCCAAATGTCACTTGAAGGTCAGGTCAAAGTCATTCACCTTAGATGACCTTAGATGACTTTTCGGGGTGTACATGTTTGTAAGGTAGTTTTTGGAGCTGATTTCGAATGAAGCGTCCATTCGAACATTTAGGAAGTAAGTGTGGTGCCTATGTAACATGTCACTATAAAGTTTAAGCCCGATATCGTTGAAAATAGCTAAGGTATACTCGTCATAGTCAAAACTTCACTATAATTCTTTTCAAATCGTACGTTTTTTTTCTCGTACGTTTTTTACATCGTACACCAATATAAAAAGTACCGGAGAGTTACTAGCTTAAATGGCATCCAATAGACATCCTTTTTGTTCAAAATATTCAACCTTAAAGTTTGACCTTGTTGACCCGAAAGTGGCCTGACCTCAGCTATACCTATTAAGCTGAAGATGACCTCCAATGACACAAACGACACTTATTTCAAAATCTATGGCCTGAATGAACCATATAACATGTGACCCGTGACCGAGTCATGATTTAACCCATTAGATACGCTTGGCAGCTTTTGCTGCCACCGGACAAAATAGCGCCGCATTCCTAAACGTTGCGGTGAACTTTCAAGGTTCTCACCAGAACGGAAGACCAAAACAATGCACGTCATGTGCACTCCGAGTTGTTGATCGAGAAAGCGAATGTGCTGAGAAATAAACAATTTAGCGCGGGGGTGCAAGGGGCGCGCGTTGGCGGCCGTGCGGCGGACACCAAAAAAGTAAGTTGTGAAGTTGGTGTGAATAAATGTTACCTTTTTATTATTGATTATTGTAAAGAAATGTGTAATTATCACTGGGAAGAGCTTAGGTGCGACATCAATTTCTCTAAATATCGCCAATCGTGCGTTATATTTAGGTGGCAGCAAAAGCTGCCAACCGTATCTTACGTAGTCAAAAATGGAGCAGTTACGTCCTTTTTGCTGTGCCATTTGTGAATGAACAACAATGTCTGGCTTTATGGCGCATAGTGTAATGCCCCAGTTCTTTGCCTTTCCAAAAATGGTCATTATCGTGGTTTCTGCTACGTATTCTTATCTGCAGAGCATCGCATACCAATGCACTACCAGGCGTATAATGTATTCCGCCATAGCTGAAGCATGGGGGTGTTGAACTACGCTCTAACGGAGTGGTGCGGACAGTCACCAAAGGTAAAATGTTGACTATTTCAACATTTTGGAAACTGCCAACGGCTATCTCGGGAACCGATCGAGCTACAGCGCCGCGGAAAAGCGCATTCGATAGCCCTTTTACAGACCTTTCTGAGTAATGTTCTCAGATTTGACCTCAGGTCAACGGTTTAGCCTCCAGAGGGCAAAAACTTCAAAAATAGCCGTTTTTACGAAAAGTGGTTTTTTGGCAATAACTTTTGACTCAAAAGAGCCATGACATTACTTTTGCCAGCATCGTGCTCCTCTCGTCGAGACGCGTCGAATGAACTATAATTTGACCTTGAAAGGTCAGCTTGAAAATTTGACCTCAGGTCAAGGTCATGACCTGACCGGAAAAGGTCATGTTGCATATCAGTCGATCCGTATCGTCGAGCTGAACACATCTAAGGCGTTTTCATCGCTCTAGCATGCCTCTATCAAAAGTTATTAGCGAAAAACTGATAGATTCTGTTCGTGACCTGAGATGACCTCGGGGACATAACGAGAGGTCACAGTTGCCATTTTCCGGTTCAGTGTGTCAATTGTACCTATATCTCGATGTTTGAGAGTGTCTAGAATAGCGTTCGTGCAAAACAGACGCTTTTCAATTTTCTCCCATTGACTTATAATGGATAGGCCGCAAAATTGACCTGACCTTAGGTCACCGATATCAAAATTCCGAGATATACATTTTGTAGATATAGTTGCTCTTATCAATCGCTGAAAGTTTCAAGGCAATCGATCAATCGGTGTAGCTATGACGAGCATTCCTATTTTTTCTGAGGTGAGGTCACTTGGCGTGACCTGGTGACCTGACCTAAGGCGACCTGGGTCTGAAATTTTCACAACATGTGCGGAAAAGATGCACGAACAGGTGTGCCAAAAACGGCGGCGCTCCGCGCCGCCGTTTTTGAGATATCTGCGAAAAACCGCAGGGGGGGGGGTGTTCAAACACCCCCCCCCCGGCCCGGCGCGGGTTAAAAGGCACACCATCGCCTAAGGGAAGGTGGTGCCGTGGCTCTAAAGACGAACGGGAAGGGGGGCGCCTGCTAGGCCTGTTAGGGCGCCTTTGAGGCCTATGGGGCCGCCCCCGCCCCGCTCCCGCCCCCCATGCAAAAGAGGGGCGCCTACAAAGGTCATGGCCATGATGGTGCATCTGCACTAAGAGGGGCGCCTGCATGCCGAAGACGGGCGCCTATGAAGCCCAATATGAAAGAGGGACGCCTGTAAGGTCTATAGGGGTGCATCTGTTGTCCATAGGGGCACCTTTATGCGAAAGAGGGGCGCATTGAATACGAAAAGGGGGCGCATTGCACAAGAAAGAGGCGCGCCTCTGAGACCCATAGGTGCGCCTTTGATGACCAAATGGGCGCTTACCTGGGAAAGAGGGGTGCCTATTAAGCTTTAAGGGACGTCCGCCATGTGAAAAAGGGGCGCCTGGGACTTGAGCGCCCTTCCGAGCGGTCCGAGGTCGCCGGGAAGTTTGTATATATCTAGCTCCTGCTGCACTATCCTCCAAAATAATTCGATTGGATTTAGGCCAGGACTGTTCTCTAGCCAAGTGTCCTTCCCCCAGATATCGGACAGATGGTCCTGGCACCGCCTAGTTCCGGAAATGGGCGCCGATGACCACTTTAGTGCGGGCGCCCAAAAACCCCAATTCATCATCATCATCATAGTTCCGGAAGATTGATGAGATGGAGTACCGTCCAGCATGAAAATGCTGTCCACTACCTGCGGGACACCATGCGCCGTTGGAGCACACGGTAGTGGTGACCGCCCTGTTAATGCCAGATGCACGTTTTTCAGTATGTTTTCTATGTAGTAGTCGGGCTCGACTTCGTCTTTTGCTAGATCACGTCCAGCTGGTTCAGCTCAGGTCCTGCTAGGACATCGTGATAGTTCGGCATACCATTGCGGCAAGAATTTTACGCCGAGGTCTGTCGAAACTTGTGCCGCGTTTTCAGCCCATTCTCGTTTTGATGGTCCGTGTGGTGAAACCATTGAAACGAAGACTCGTCGCCGAACTAGACCCGTTTCTACATACTTACTCAGTTTCCACTCTTCTACCGACCAGATTTTCCGTTTGGGTTTGCTCATTTTCGTTAATTTTGGCCGTACCAATAGTCAAGCGCCTTCAGTCCAAGGATGTTCCTCCCTTATCAACGGACAACATTATCAGAGTGATCCTTATGAATAAGACTTTTGATCAGGTTCTCCGCAGAATGGTCAAATTTACCAGGTGCTTTCTTCATGACGATGTTGGCGACGGTTGAGACGCAGGAGGACCATGCTGATTGGGGTTTATACCTACGTGACGCTACTTGTCCCTAAACTTCTTCCACCAGCGCTTGTTGGTAAAAACGGGGGATTAAAAGTGTGAGGCAGCGTCCTTCCATGTGTTGCCAGCTTGGAGCATGCCAATAGCGCATTTACGAAGCTTTCACTGTAAGGCTAACCGTCCATGCTTAGGCGTTCAGTAAATGCGCTGTTCAATGGTTAAACAATTACCGATACCAGCAACCCCCATTGGTAGAGGTCAGCTTTTCAGCTTATCCCCGCTTTAGAGAAGGACTCAGGGACACAATTCGTTCAAAGTAACGCGATATTTAGGAGCACATTGGAAACACGCTAAGTTGTTTTAAATAAACGGTCGACGGAAGTAAACCTTCGTCGCACTCTGTATAAGATTGTGTGGGGAGGGAAAGCTGTGTGAGCTGAAATAGTAAGAGAAAGAACATTATCTCTCAGAACGAGCTGATCTGTTAGCTGATGTCTTGATTTTGAGTAATTATTCTTGAGAATAATTGGCTACGGTCGTTATTTGCAGGCTACGGTCGAATGGAAATCCGAACAATAACACATATTCAAGACCATATCTGGTACGGAAATAAAATAGCTCATGAAAATTGTACAAGCACCGATAAGAGACACTCTGTGGCAAAGGTTGTTGGTATCGAAACATCATTTCCTCGCGGTCTTGATATGTTTGTGCTTTGAAATGTGACAAACCACTCCATTTTTGACTACGTAAGATACGCTTGGCAGCAAAAGCTGCCAGACCGGAAACGTACACTTCCGGTTTGGTGATCTGGCTAAAAATGCACATGCATTCTCCTAGAGGGTGCCCGACAAACATATGTTAAAATCTCAGTGAAAGTCGACAAAAAAAGTTTTCGGCTCTAATGGGTTAAGCTTTCTGTTGTGATGATCTGGCCTTGACCTGAAAATCAAAGTACAAGTTTTTCAGCCTCAGGGTATCTTAACCCTCGCATGTGTAGGGGGGATCGGATGGACCACACCCACCCCTTCATGGTTTTTCGCACATAA